TGTCTTCCCAGACCTTCGGGGAGCCCTCAGGATAACTCATCCTGATGGAGGTGCGATTCCCAACGTCTGCACTGAAACCTCGCACAGGACCGCTGTTCAATCTGAACACAAACAAGAGTCGCATAAACACACACGCACACGTCCTTTAGCTAAAATCAGACAAATTAAGCGGGGCAGACTCTCACCTGATGATGGTATCGAACTGATTAAGAAGAGGTCCGAGCCCTAATCCTTTCAGTATCCCTCCATTTCCAATCACTAGACATCGACGACAGTCCCTCACTCCACGTCTCTCCTCAGAGGAGGCTGGTAGGAGGTCCAGGATCTCCTGAAGCTTGTTCTTCATATCCAGGAAACCAAACGGTGGAGAATATTGGAATATTTGTTCATTCAAATGAGTGTTCTTGTCCAAAAAGGGCTCTAGCACTGGTGTGGAGCTGTAATGTTCAGCTTCCATTCTCTGCCGGGCAAAAGAAGGTCTGCATTCTTGGGCCAGTATCTCTCGGACATAGGAATGGACACGCTATGAGTGAAAATACAGTGCTTAATGCATGCGCTCATATCAACCTAACTGAAAACATTTGTTTCGTGCAATTTACCTCATGGATAACAGGGCATCAGCAAACATAGTATCTTCATTTTATGTTTTGCCAATCGTGGACAGGCACTAGTCTGGTTTAGATCCTACCTGAGTTTGCTAAAATATTTGACCCCCCCAAAAAGAAAAGTATGTTGTGCCACAAGGCTCGGTCCTAGGCCATTTGATATTCTCCTTGAACATGCTCCTTTTAGGTCAGTGGTTCAGAACTCTGTATCTAGGGACCCACGACATTTCTATGTGTGAATCAGGCATGTAAATAAGGAAGATATATAGAATGCAGTGCTGTGGCCAGGACCAGAGCTGAGAGGAACTGCATTAGCTGATATTAGGAAGCATGGCATTTGCTTTTGTGGTTATGCAGACACCACAGCTCTACAAATGGATGTTTTCCTTCCTTGCCACCACTGCCTTTGGACTTTTTTTCAATTCTCTATGAGAAACAGGTGTCAGAAAAAGTTGCACAGCACTGCAGTGTGTATCAGGGCACTTCTGCTTTTCTATAAGCAGCAGCAACTGTCAGAGTGTGAATTTTAATTTTTTTATTCAAAGCGACTTACAAATGAGGAATACACTTTCAGTCCAACAATATGCTGTTTTTTCCACACTGATCTGAACAGACAAATCAAATGCAGAAAATGTCCATGGCCAACATTCATCTTGGTGTGAACGAGCCATTTTAGGTATCATAAAAATTTACAGTATTAACTTCTGTAAAACTGCTTTGAAACGACATGAATCGGGAAAGTGCTACACAAATAACATTGACCCAAATGTATTTCCTCCAGAACAGTTGCTCTGCACATCTATCTTATCTGATGAGCTCTCTCATTACAAGCTGATGAGCTGAATTTGGTATTTAGACATCCAAAATGTGCTGTGCTGTGCTGTGGGTCCCCAGCACCAAATTATCAGATGTTAAAAGCACTTCACAGGATGGAGGTGCTGAAGATAACAGCTGTGCATCAGGGCGTGTTTCGCTTCACACTGACACACACTCAACACTCGCCCACTGACATGTCAAGTGTGTTACACTTCATCAAGTAGACGAGAAAAGTTTATATGGACAGATCCTAAACCCTCGATTCAGCGGGATGGAAGGAAGGTCAGAAAACAGTAAAGCTGAATTATAATTTTTTTTTTAAGTCTGCCTTTTTTTATCCAATGGAGCCGACTAGATTTAATGCTTATTTAGTTTGAAGTACATACAGTAGTGTGCACAAGTCTTTGGGTAGATGCTTCACAACAACAATATTTAATTACATGTAACATGGTTATTTATATCTTTAGATTTGTGTCAATAGGAAAGCAATTTTAGATTTCCAAACATTGCTTTTACAAAACTCTAATAATCTAATTATATTTCTGTATAAACAAACTCAGCGTACAATAGTTTATTATAGTGCACCTGAAACATCATCTAATGTGTCCAATAGGGATGGGCGATATGGGCTTAAAAATATATCACGATATTTC